GTCCTGTGGTGGGCATCAGGTACTGGAAACTCCATTGCTTCCTTTTCTTTTTTCTAATTTTCCATATTCTAGCTTTATATTCATAGAAATATATCACATTCTATGTTATGCACTAATAACAATGTTCTATATTATTTGAAAAATATTTCAAAAGTGTGAAATATTTCTGTTAAATATATTTTAAGGCTCTCTTATAGTCTTTAATTTGAAAAGTTGCATTCACAAATTCTGTCACATACAGTTATGTTAAAGATTTTTGCCATTATCATCAACTCCCTTTCCAATGTTCAGCATAAATGAAATTATATCATTGCTCTCACCAGTGACAATACTCACCCTTCCAACCTATTTATTTTGTTGTTTATTAAGGTGCCATCTAATTCTTTTTAAATTCAACATTGAAAAGACTAATTTTGAATAATATTTTTCACTTTTAAGTATCCTACTTTTTCTATGACATTTTTATGATCATATTTATTTAGACATGTTATAAAACAATTACAAGAACTTTCAAAGATAATACAAAATATATAAAAATTAAATATATAATAATATGGTAGTACAAGCATTGATGTAAAGTTTACACTTCTGTCCAGTATTATTTGGCAATAGAATGTTGCAAATGATAGATATCTAAGTATCAATACAAATTTCATTGACAATCTGCAAAAAAAACCCAGTTTCTTGATTTAAGCATTTAACAAACATTGTATTAAAGAAAAATTTAAGTTTCCTGGTAAAATATGTAGTTACATAGGAATGAAGGAGCATTTGTCCAATGGGCTTAATGTAGGTCTAAAAGAAGTGGAGAAATCATTTTGTATAAACTAAAAGGAAATAAATCACTGACCTTTTATTTAGTTTTCCTTATTTAGGTGTATGGCAACATTTTTTTTTCCCCCCAAGAGAAATCTGTCAGCTCGACAGGCTAGGACCAGGCAATAATTTACATAGACTCTATGCATTTACAGAAGACTGATAATATCTTTATTAAGAAACTGATACTTTTATAACCTAGTTCACTACAGTGGACCTAATTGGCCCTCCAATCAAAACACCATCACCACTGGCTAATTAAGAAACTACCCTTTGAGTAACACATCTCTATAACACAGTCTACATGTTCACAATGCCAGGTGCAGCAAATTAAGATAAGAATTGTTTATAATTCTTTTCTCTGGTTGTCTTACAGCCTTTCCCAGAATGATGCCTAGGAAAGTTGTTTGTTTTTCTCTGTGCCCAGAGAGCTGCTGCCACAGGAACTCATAATTTTGTCCATTTTAAGACGGAGTATATAATTTCCACTTCAAAATTTGCAAGGTAAATATTATTTTATGAAAGAAAAAATGTAGCCTTTTAACCTAAGTAGCTAAGGTGTTTGCTAAATTTTCTGCATCCTTGTAAAATTTTTTAAATATCAGGATTTGAGTTTTTCTGGGTATTTTGTTGAAGCTAACACAAATTTCATAAAATACACATGCTCCATGCAGGGAGCAAGAAGAGAAAGGCATAACTGCATAAATTAAAAGTTAAGAATCGCCTGAAGAAAATTCAAGAAGTAGCTTAGACCTCACAGAAAGCAGAAGACTCTTGCCATGTTAATTTCTTAACTATAAAAGAGAAACAGCTCCGCAGTTTCAAAATTACTGCCTATCTTTGAAGAACCTGTTATCACTTCTTTCATTTGTCACTTTAAAATCTTCCAGGCTGCTTAAATTCCCCCTTTTGATGAAGGTCAAGATGCATAACTCTTGTTTCACAACTAATTTCTTTTTCTTTTTTTTTTTTTTTTTTTTTAATAGTACTCACTTGATTCCTTTTCCTTGGATTGATAGTATGCCATGGCAGTGATCATTCTGTGTGCTGCTAGACATGCAAGAAGCATCCTCTCAGTCTGTAAGCAACTGGTATTTAATGAATGAAAAAGGGGCCCTATATTTCCTAGCTTGCAGCCTGACTTGTGTGAGCAGCTTTCCACAACCACTGCTTTCAGGCTGCACAGTGTAATTAACCTGTTCAAGTCCTGTTGTACTGAGACATAAAATAAAAGCAGCTAGCATCTTCCAAAGGAAGATTTCCAAAAGAACACACTCCTGGTAGTCATACAGAAGCAGGAAAACTAGTAAGAGTTTGGGGGATCAGAAGGGTCCTGTGAGCACAGCAGTATCTTGGCAATGTAAAGTATGCCAAGGTATTTTATAACCTTCATCAATTAATATTGTTCACACAAAAAAAATCCTTGTCTCTTTTAATAAATATTTATTACCTTTTATAATTGTTGCAATGATTGGACCAATCCAGAAAGTCAATGTTGAAGATATATTTATAGCTAATAACAGCTTCTTCATTCGGTACCTTGGAAATCTGTATAAACCTTAAATATCTTTCACATTTTAGCAAAAAAATTATGCTACATTCATTTTAGGATGAAGGTGACTTTTACTACAATTTATGTCTGAGGCACGCTTTGCAATATACACATGGTCATCAGAACTTTGAATGACAGATTATTATCTAATCTGGCATTCCATTTGCACAGGCAGTTTTCCAGTAGATTTGACATTGATCATCTGTCCATTTGATTTGTTAACTTCATAAAAATGTGTTATTTTACAAAATGACTAAAAGCTTGCAACTCTCTGTAGAAATGTTGCTATTTTATATTTTATTTCATCATAAATTTGTTTTCCAGAGAAGTGGCTTTGGTTTGTGAAACCAATGGCATTACTTTTCTTTCTCTATCAACTCTGTACAGCTAAATAAACCTCTGGAATTTGGGGTTCAAATGCGATTAACTTGAGTGGCACAAGAAAAGGGAAGCAAGACTGACAGGATGGGGAGATAAAAACAAAATGCAGCAGTATGGACATGAAATCCTCATATTACAGCATGTATCAAAGTCAGTGTCTGTCAGCATGCTCCCTCTTGAATAAATCTAATTTTCTTCTAGATCTTCTCTTTATGTACCAAATGTTTATAAAAAAAAATCAGAAACCACAAATCAAGACAATATATGACACTAGAAATAAAATCAGCTCTCCCAAATGGTTGTGGGAACATGAAATGTCTAGGTTTTTGTTTGTTGAATATCATAGTATGCAATTTTTAACTTTCATTACACAGCATTTTCACAAAGAGGATGTATTTTTAAAAGAGGTAAATATTACAGTCTGCCTATTTCTTCCCTATTCTTGAAAAATCTCACTGATATTATTTAAGAATGTGCATAAAAATAGATGGACCGGTGTGCAAATAGCCACACATTTTCTGCAACATAAGTGCATACAGGAAGGAAACTATCCCAACTTTGGCAAATGCATTCATAGTTTCTTAAAATTTGCTCATAATTATTTTCTAGTTGTTTATAATCTAAAAAAACCCAAAAAGTAAATAATCAAGATAAGGATCAATTCAGACCAAGCAGTATAGTAATGATAAAAAGAATAAATTATGTTTCCATCTAGCCTCAAATACTTAACTGTGTTTCTATGGGCAAAATTATTAGTAAGTATTTGCATGCTTTTCATGTGATTATGCTCTCTCTTGTATCATGCCATTCTTTAGGAAAAGTCAGCTACCACTGATAGTAATTGGAAAAGGTCCTTGGAAAATTACCATGATTGTCCTGATTTCTTCAGAAAAGAGGTTTAACCCTGAACTGGATGAATATTGTATGTTAGTGAAACTTTTCAAAGGCTTCTTACTAGTCAGCAGAATTATTTAGCAAAATACTTAAAAATTAAACATGAAATTATAGTTATATTTTAAGTGGCATTCACAGTTGTATAAAGATTAGTCTAATGCATAATGATATTATCTTAGTACAAAAACAAATATATAAATAATTTATGTCTGGAGATGCCTCAAAAAAGGTAAAATTATCAATTCTGTGAAAGTTCTTGACACTTGCTGCAGTATCTCTTCATCTCAGATAAATGAGTTAAATAAAATACACCTAAATACATTCTCATATGTGCATAAACAAAAATGCATACTATACCTGTGTTGCCTTTTTTCTTTAAATCTTCAGAAGTATAAAGCCACAATGTCTTGGTTTAACTTGACCAATATAGGCACAGTAGCAGCTGTTTGATTAAACCTATGCCACAGCTTTCGTACTTACCATGATCAAATTTTGTTCACCAAAATCTACATGCCTATTTACGGCAATGTTTTAAAAAAAGTATCAACTACATTTTGAATTGATATTGCTTTCATAAAATAGATACTGTATCTAAGAAAAATTCCTTAAAACAATCATGCATATTTTGAAATCAAACATTGCAACAAGATTACAAAAATATAATGGGAAAGAATAGATAATTAGTAAAATGAAACCCAAACCTTCTCTTATATAGGAACTCTCCATGCTAGTTGGTTGGGCTTCTAATGGCTTTCAGCAAATTTTTCTGCCTTAGAAATGAAAAAAGTTATTATTGAAAGACACTTTCTTTGGCTTTAGTGAACATAGAAAAGCTTTTATTTAGAATATGCTAGGAAGTACAAACATTCAATTTCTAAATTCCCTTCAGAAATATTTTGCATTTTTTCTGTAAGAAAGCCATACAATATTTCTGGCCATAGTTTTTAATTACCATTGCTTATTTTGAGTCAAAGACAGTTGTCTGTTCTGTGAACACTAACTCCTTAACCAAGCAAACTCGATATAACCTGTATATGGTTTGCTACCGTTGGCCTGGAGAGGGAAAACAGAGTAACATCAAAACTAACTTTCAACACCTTGGGAAAATATTCATCCTGTCACATCTATAACGAAATCAAAGTAAAGCTTTTCAAGATTTGCTATTTTAAATAAGTACTAAAAGCTATTATGCATTACAAAATAAACTCTTAAGCTGGTGTGTGGGCCTACATATAGCCCAGACTTTATCTTTCTAATCTGGTGCTGAATACAGCAGCCACCATCTGGTGTGCGTGTACATCAACAACTACAACACAGCCCCACAATTTAATAATCACAAACTTTAACTGCTACTTACCACTTATTTCCAGCTACAGAAGGTCTCTGATTTAAGCTGTCAAATAAACGTAGAAAAACAACATATAATTAACTGTTTTTGTTCCAGGTTGGGCTTCACATGCAGACAGTGAAGCAGAGAGAGCTCTGCTGTTGCTAGGGAAACCTGACGCTGAGGATTTAATGACAGCCTCAGAGGGTATTGTACTAGAGATTGTCTGCTTGAGGGACTAGGCAGCATGCTGCTGATAAGAAGGAATGGATTCCAAATGATTTCAATTTGCTTTATCAGAGGAATCCTTTCATTGCCTCAAATATATTAATTTGATAGCAGATACAAAGAATTTATATTAATGTTAAAAAAAAAATTTAAAACATAATCTGTCTGGAATCTCTCAATGCAGGTAATTAATCTTCCTAAACCGTTATTCAATATGTAGATAGGTAAAGTTTATGAAATTAATACTGTCTTTTAGTCTGATAAATATTTAACTCATATGTATATATATATGATTCCTGAAATAATTTTTCTTTAAACTGACAACTTATAAAAAAGAAAACATTTTAAGTTTGTGCATATAAAGTTCATTAATTACTTTTAAAAAAGGATCCAAAGATGAAAAATTTCCAACAAATTCCAGATTCACAGGGGCCTGGAACAATTAAATTTCAGGGATTTGTTTAATATTCAGTAATTTAGTTTTGTAAATATTTTTATTTTGTGATAAAACTTTTAAAATAGTATTACAACTCAGAAACAGTATTTCTGAACACAGGAAGTATGAACTGTAAAGTATCACCTGTCAAAATGCATGTATTTATCTGGTCAACGTGTTTTTCTATAAAGTCTCTTTCTACTTCACAAATCTTTTTGAACTTCATTTACCTCTGTGGTTAGTTGATTGTTTGTAGATTAACAAATGTAATGAAAATAGTTTCTGAAAACAAAACTCATTATTCTTCTATCAAATGTGTCTCTTTTTTTTTGGCAGTCCATCTGAACTCCAGGATATTAGTTCATTGTAGAGCTTATATAAATACGCAGAAATAATATTTTATATTAAATTAAGGGTCTTCTGTCCCAAGGAATTTTGCAAACGCATTTCCCACTACATAATATTGGAAAGCCTGTTGATAGTACTCACCAAACCAACTCCTTTCCTTCAAAGATAAGGCCACTGCAACTTCACTCTCCAAACAGAGCAGAAAGGACTGCCATTTCAAAGGTCTAAATCAAGCATCACACAAGACCATTTGATCAATATGGCTTTGAAGGTTAAAGATTGATTCAGTCCTGCTGGGATTTTAGACTGTATCTCCTGGAGCCTTAGGTATTTTAAACATGAAGATAACCCCATCAACAGACTTCTCAATTAGCATCAAAGGGAATTTCTGATTATGTCAATAGTAGTGCCGAGCACTCCCTCTACCTACTATCCCCAAAAAACCCCAAAAAAACAAAACTACACTAAAAATCAAACAAATTGACAATCAAAATAGTCTCTCACCAAACAAACTGGTCAGAGCAAGGAGAAGCCTATGAATTTCCATATTATGAATTTCCCCATAATATTTTCTCTTTGGATCCAAAATAATACTGGGGGAAAAAAAGTATTAATTGTTTACCCATAGTCAAATTAAAACTTTATTGCTGATGTTTTCTCTCTATTGGTTTTGAGCAAGATTTAGGAAGTTCAAGAGAAAGAGTAGGCTTACTGTCAAAAAAAAATCAAGCAAAACCAACAGAATAATAATAATTTGGAGTCAACATAGGTAATCTTGGCTTAAATGTATTAATGCCTTTTGAATTAAACATTCAAAACAAATCAGTTAGATTTTGGATTATTTTATATATTTATATATATATATATAATATTATATATAATAATATATATAATATATAATATCTAATTATATATTATATATTATATATTATATAATATATATTATATAATATATTATATAATATATATTTTATAATATATATTATATATTATATATATTATAGTATATATTAATATATATATTATATTATTTATATATATATATTATTTATATTTTATATATATACATATTGTATTATATATAAACATTTTGGATTATTTTAAAATGAAGTGTTTGAATGGAGAAAAATTTCTTTTTGAATAATCAAAATAAAATGTATAACATTTCACCAACTAACTACTTTCTAATTTTTGGAAAATTCCCCTATATTCTAGTCCAAGCTGCTCACCAATTTCTACCTGAGTTTTTTTGTTTTAGACTGAAACTTTTCCCCAGCTCCTTTTTGGGCATATGTTATACTTGTGAAAGCCAATAAAATATCCCATACAGTGTACATTGTGAAATAGCTTTGAAGACCTCCTAGCAAAAGCATTCCCACTACAGGATGTATTATTTAAAGGAATATATGGTATTTGAACATAAAATACTGCATGTACATTCACCTTTTCCATCTTAAAGTTTGAAAGAAGAGCTTTGAAGAGGTTTCAAGAGATGGGTGCAGGAAAACATTAAAGAAAATTATTCTAAATATTTTTGAACTAGGGGAAATTATTAATGGAAGTTACCAAGAAAAAAAAAGTGAAAAAAATGACATGACAACATTTAAGACTAAGTTAAAATGTAAAAGAAATATTTTTAGAATAATTTCTCTAAAAAGTGCACATCTGGTTTTTGAAATCTCTTTTAGTCCATCATGTTCAAAACATAAATCACAGAGAGGCTGAAATTATTTTATAATAATTTGTGGTTTTAATCTTTGTGACCTGTGGTGTCTTGGTATCTTTTGTTTTTTTCCTCCTGATTTTCAGATTGCATATGTCACAAGAAGTGTTAGAATGGCATTACCACCTCTGTGACTACCAAGGGAACTCACTTCTTGAAAGCAACCAGGTATACTTAGACAATATCCCAGAGACTACAGGACTTTGCAAAAAAAGAACATGAAAGAGTCAGAGTGAGAGAGTGGAGGGATAAATTTTAAGCGAAAGCTGAAAAATTGTTGAGAAGACTGTGAAGCGCAGAGGCCTCCTAGGCCACAAACAGGCCAAGGGAAAATCACGCAAATGTCACTAGAACTCAAAAAGTCACTGAGCAATTGAAATCAATATTAGGAAAGAGGAATTCTTAATGATGATATGCACAAGAAGGGGCAGAGCTGCTTATAAATAGCATTTCTATTCTCTTTGTCTCACTGAGTTTGTTTTTTGTTCAAAATATTCACTGCATCAGAGACCTTTGAACAAAGTCTTGCTCTTTTTAGGTGATAGATGTTTGTTGCTGTTTTTGTTGTTGTTTTTTATGGAATTTCTAAAAGAAAGATAAACACATCTATGTTTTCAGTCTTGAGCATGAAAGCCTCAAGGATCCTGAAGTAACTGTTAGGTGAAATTCAGATCCTAGTCTTTAGAATTTTGCCAGCAACGGGTGCCATAATGCTTTTCTGAATCTAAGTTAATCACTGCATTCTTGCTTCCACTCTAAAGATGCCATACATAACTGTAGTGGGACAGTGAGAAATATGGCATTAAAAAATATGTTGGAAAGGATATGACAATAAAGCACACTAAAACATTTTGGTTCTTATTGTGACTATTGCGGCTAGATATCATGGCCAGAATGTAAATTGTGCTGCTTTGAAGAAACTACTATTGTTTATTTTAGATGAAAGGTCATTGTGAGAAATATTAAAAATCTCAGAGTATCACTGAATTAATATTTAAAAGGATGAAATGGAACACGGTATAACAGAATTGTTCTCTTTTAAAAGTATTGTACTTTGTAAAAATATGTAAAAAAAAAACAAACTGGAAAACTATGTTAAACATCTTTAAATGCAATTTAATAATATAAGGGAAAGCCTGAATTGTATCAAATTATCTGATAAAAGTCCAGAGGAAAACCACCACGCTTATTAGACGGATGGAGCACTTCTCCAATGAGGAAAGGCTGAAACAACTGGGATTGTTGAATCTTGAAAAGAGAAGGATTTGGGGCAACCTAACTGCAGCTTTACAGTACCTTACAAAAGCCTGTAAGATGGAGAGAGACTATTTACCAAAGTATGTACAGACAGGGGGAATGGCTTAAAACTAAGAGACAATAGATTTAGGTAAGATATTGGGAAGAAATTCTTTACTGTGAGGATGGTGAGACACTGGAATAGGTTGCTCAGAAAAGTTTTAATGTCCCATCCCTGGAAGTGTTCAAGGCCAGGTTGGCTGGTCCTCTGAGCAGCCTGGTCTAGTGGAAGGTGTTGGAACTAGAGGATTTCTGGAAACTCTGGAACTAGAGTAGAAGGGTTGGAACTAGAGTATTTCTAAGGTCCCTTTCAACCCAAACCACTCTGTGGTTCTATGATCATATATTTGGCTCAATTTACCAAGATAGTTAGCATTCCAATCTGTATGTTGTCCTCTTAGGAAATTACTTCACTATTAATTCTTATGTGTATCATATTATGAATTACTATAATTCAAAAATTTTTGATTAACTGAATCATTTCTCATTTGAAACTTTGGGGAATTCAGAACTACTACAGCAGAGCTATACTAGCTATAGATAAGTGTGAAAAATGAAAGTAATAGAGGTATAATCAAACTCCCAGGATAAGCAAGATAATTCAGATACTTCAAGTTCTGAATATGTAGCAGCAGATGATCAGCAGTGTGTGAATAAGACAAATTTTCTGATCTAGAAATTTAACTTGATTTTCATTTATGTGTTTCAGCTATATGAGTACAATCAAATATATCAAAGGCAGTATAGTAGACTGTAGTTTTCAAATACTGAAACTCACAGTCAGTGCTATATCTATTATTCATGTAATTTCTACTGTTATAGACACTATAGACACTAAAATAGCTACTAAATTATGCGTGTGCCTGTGTGTACATTCTACTTACATTTGGTCAGAAAACTGGTAAATTTATTGCTATTTATGCAACAGAATTACAAAAAAAATCTTTATCGATGTACAGGTAGAGTACCCACGTCAAATTAATAGATATATTAAGGGAACATTAAATTCTTTTGGTTGAGTACTGTGCCTTGTGGGTAAAATGGGGAGATATGTAAAATCTAAATATTCTCACATGCATAACCATTTTTCTGAAATCTACCTCTTTTTTGTAAGAAA